CAAATATTAATATGAAGATTCATTGTGTTTACTTTATATTTATATTTTTTTACTTAATATATTTAAATTTAATATAAAAATTATTACTAATGTTTTTGATTGTATTTTAATAGTAATAAATTCTTACTAGGTATGCTAGAACTAATTAATACCTTTTGATATAAATGTTAGTACATGAACTAGTGTTATTGATTTAAAAATATAGGATATTTGAAGACTTAAATGATGGGCTATTGGCTAATGACTATTTGAATTTCTAACTATTTTTAGGATTTTAAAGTCAATATCACAAAAATAGGAGAAGAAAGTGAATCAAAATTTTCCACAAATATAGTTCTTGTCCAATACCTCAATTAACCCCAATTCTCATCTTCAATTGCTCTATGATCTCAAGTATTTTTTAAAAAATATTTGCAGAATTATATATGTCGATTTGAAAAAAAATCAAACCTACTTTAATGATGAGAAGACGGTGTTGGTGAGTGATTTTTAATTCGAAAAAAATCTCCTCACTATGATTTTAGTGATAGATCTTATGCAATCAGAGAGAAAAATAATTAAATGCTATTCAACTTACTTTTAATTAAATTTTGGATATGATTCATCTCTTAAATTTTGAAGAACACCATGGTGGCATCTTTCTTTACTTCTTAAAACATTTACTTGTGATTAAGTATTATCATAATCTCTCATGAGAGGTGAGTCTTGTAATTAGTTTTCCCTACCTAGAGCTATGAATCTAGATGAGAATTTGAGTTCAAATTCTAAAAGAGTTGAGTCTAATAATATGTGGTTATCACTAAAAGATATTTTAGTGAAACTTAAGAATTAGATGTTCTTTTAGAGTAGACATAGGTAGACGATCGACCTACTATAAAAATCATAGAAATTAAATATTATTAAAATATTAATATAATTTTAATTATTAATCTAAAGTTAAAATTAGGATACAATCAATTTAATGCCCCTTCTTGGTCTTATTGTGGCCGTAAATCTAACATTTAGATGATCCTAATTGTCATGTGATTGAAAGAAAGTTTGTTAAACTCTAAGCAAAACTCATTTAAGGATAAATGAATCAATAATTATGGTTGATTAAATTGAAAATTTTACTTGATAAAATAGTCATTATTTATTTGTAAATGTGAATGAAATAATTTTTTAAAGAAATTTATTTCATAGATATAGGCATGAGAATATTCATTGAAGTTTTTTCTAGAAGAGATATGATGTGACTTAGTTGTTGTATATTAAATCACACAAATCTGAAATTTATAAAACTAGAAAATACAAATTTTTAGATATTTAGAAGTATTTCTAAATAAATATATCAATTATAATTCAATAAAACTTCCAAAAATAGCAGTAATTTTCTAGGTTGATCACAGGGATGTAAATAATAGCTAGTAATTATTCAGAATTTTTCTCAATGAATATGATTTTCTATGAATTTTATACTAAGAAATGAAAAGAAAATATATTTAAAATTTATGAAAAAGGAAAATAAGGGTGCGGACGTCAAGATGACATCACCACCTGGCAAATGCGAATCGAACAAAAATAAAGTTCTGCCTGGTGATTCTTACGTAAGCGATTACAGACGATTTAATTGATCAAATTAAGATCTATAAAAACTAGAAGAATCGTAATAGAACAAAGTATATTTTGGTAAATTAAAATCACAAAAACTATCACTAAATGAAGTGTAAAGTAAGTTGAAAGTAAGAAAACAGAGTTCCAGCGTCATGACAGCGATACGTCAGCGATGCACTGGAATCCTGAGCATTCGAGAAGGGATTGTCATGTAGTGTCCATGGTCTCGAAGGCTCTCCTTGGACAAAGACGACGTGGGCAATCTCTAGATATTCTTGTGAAGTCTAGAGATTAATGAAATGGGTCGTCAAGTCATCTCTAGTGGTTGTCACCCGGTGGAGTAGAAAAATAACGACTTTGTGGCTCTCTGACAATTGTCACCTGACGAAGAGGAGCTAGATGGAGGTGGGACGTGTGTTAGGGAGCTTCATCTTCAGGTCCATGTAGCAAGAGGATGCTCTTCATCACATCTGGTACACTCTCAAGAGGTGACGACTTGTCTCCTAGTGGATCGTCCTCTTCCCAACGATGGCTTATTTGTTGATCAATCGGAGATGATTTACTCGATGGATTTGTGATCCTTTTATTGCAAATCGTTTAGTAATTTTAGTAACAATGCTCTACGAATCGCGTTGATGAGATTTTCGCTGATGATCTAGTGATTCTCGTTGCTTAATCCTTCACCAGTGATCTATAGGAAAGTTGCAATAATTAGATAAAAATATATGAATTTTGACTCTAGGAGGATTCGAACCCGTGCTGGTCACCTACCTCTTCGAAGGAAGGTGCGACATGGGTTTAGTCCCACATCGATTGTGCGCCAATTTTTCAGGCGAATATATAGTAATGTTAACTTTCTAAGCAAAGTCCCTTCTCTCGCGTGTACGATCACTCCTTGCCCCACAGCTGGCTGGCCACTGGTCACGTGGGAGGGGAATGACGCACACGTGCCCTTATCGGTCCAAGCCAAGCCGCTCGAGCCCCTGCTTACAGCTACTCCCCGACTGCATTTCCGACTCACTTGCAGGCCTAGCTGGCCGACGTGTCCCCCCATTTTGTAATATTTTTATTTTTATTTCTTGTTCTTCATTTATCTCAAAAGTAAGACTGAAAAAATCATATAAAATCACATAATTACCCAAAAATTCACATTAATTAACTGAAAACTACTTTTCACACTTTAACACAAATATAAGTCTATTTATCATGAGTTAAGGCTAAAAATATATTATTTAATAATTATTAACTCATAATAATGAAGACTTATCAAGGTACAAATTACAAAAAATTGTGCATTAAAATTCCATAGTGTTCATTTGTTTTAGATTTTACAATATTAATAGGTATTTATACAATTTTTATTTCATGCATGAATCTAATGCATTTCATTTCATTGGATGACCATTAGGGCAATGCAATACCTTGGTAATCTAAAGCAACCTATTATACTTTTTTTTTGACATGAGAGACTTACACTCACTTCAAGTGAGATGAGAATTCTTTGAAAACCCAAGAAAAGCTTAATTGATTACTACCTTCCTCTAAGAAGTCTATGTCAAACTACTTTAATCTTAAGCACTTGATAGAAACAGTGATTTAATAATGCTCAAACTCTTCAAGGACTTTTACACCAAGCTTCTCCAAGGATAAAATCTAATGAATAAGCCTTTGAGAAGTATATAACTAAACTATTAAGCATCGTGACATGTGTTACTTTGTGTTTAGACATTTGCACTCAAGGCCTCAATCTGTGAGATTAGCATTACTTAACTTTTTTAGGCACCTACACATCGATTTGGAAGAGGGGATTAACTCTTTGCTATTTGGTTCCCTAAGGTTGTGAATCTAGAAAAGTATACCATATTGGGATATTGAGTTGACTGGAATCTTGCAATCTAGTGTTAAGGGACATGAAGCCCATAATTCATTATTTTTTCACCAGCAATTAAGTAACATCTAAGGAAGTGGCATCAAATGTGGTACTTAAATAGCATAGTAGGTCTTGTGACCAAACCACTACAGAAGTAATGCATCTCCTATCATTTAGATCTAAATATAAAGAGATGAGAAATTAACGAAGAGAAAAATAATTAGAGTTTTATCAATTCACCTCTCCTCTTAATGACTTGTTATGATATGTAATTTGTCAACTTCTCATTAAGTCATCTAAAATGACTCTACTCACTTTACTCTCTCTCTCTCTCTCTGTCACACACACACACACACCACACAAACACACTCCGTCCCTCCCTTGCTCTCTCCATTGTCACACTATTTCATCTTCACTAGGAGAAAAGATTATAAAAGGGTGGCTCAGTTTGCCATCATTATGCCTCCCCCTGATGTCTTCAACATAATTTACAGAAATATCATATTAGGTTTAAGGTTGTCACAATGGACTCAATCCAACCAAGCCCCTGCTGCAGCCCTAAGGTAAAATAGAAATATACTTGTTTAAACGAATTTAGAGAGAGATATCGATAGGTGGCTAAGAATTTAGGCAGCTTCCTTACGGTCTCCCAGAGTATATTATTGGGCTTGAACTCAGCCAAATACTGGGCTCGTGGTGGACCTCGGTCATTTTTGGTGGCCCAATACAAGCAAATAAATGGGCCAATTCTGTTGGGCCCACCGTTTCGGCCCATTCAAGAATATTCTTACAGCAAGGCAGGCGGTCCACCCAATAAGCGACAAAACCTCACGTCCCCATCGTGAAAAATGTCGCCGCAGCAGCGGGGGAAAGCGGGCCCCGCTCCCTCTTTAACGCGACTTCCCACTTGCGCGGGCCCAGCATTGCTTCTCCTCCTCTCATTTGGGCGTCAGGCCCCCACGGCCACTGGGCCCCACCCCATAACCTGACAGTTTAGATTCCCAACACCGACGCCGCACAAACGGTGGCGTACGCACGCGCGCCGCGCCTGCTCCGCACGCTCGGAGGGCAAATAGACAAAAACGGAAACATTTTAATCACATCGTCGTAAATAAAATAAGATTAAATCATTGTCCTTTTTTTGTTGCAATAACAGCCCCGGAACGTGTCATAATAATTGTCCATAAAGGCAAAGATTTGTCCCTAAAACTCCTTCAAAAGAGGAGGGGGAGAGAGAGAGAGAGAGAGAGAGAGAGAGAGCACTGGGTGTGCGCTCAACGTTTAGAATAATTTCAGATTAAAATATTTGCGGAGCGAGAGTCTTACAGGTTGATCGATCGAGAGGGGAAAGAGAGCAAAAGAAAGATTACGCCCTGACCACGTAACGACGACTCCCGGTTTCAGCTCAGAGGCCCGATGGAGAAGGAGCAGAATGAAATTCTCACGGCCGAATCACCGCCGCCCACCGGAGCCGCCGGGCCATCAATCAATGTACAGAGAGAGAGAAAGAGAGAGAGAGAGAGAGGAAGAAGATGGGTCAGCCGAAGAAGCCGGTTTGGCTCCAGACGGCGTTGCGGACGCGGCTCAAGTCGCGGCCTTTGAGGGTCCGCCCGATGCCCTCTACGACGGAATTGGTCATCGAGCGCCCACTCTTGGCGTACTCCCTCGCGAGGTACTCGTGGGGTGGCACCCACTCGCCGTCGTCGTCGTCGTAGCCGGCGTGCAGGTGCAGAGAGTCCGCCGACTCCACACGCAGAATCCTCGGCCAGTCCGGGACGCTCACCGGCGCCGAGGAGGGCGCCGCACGGTGCTCGCGCCCCCGCGCCGCCGCCGACGCGTCCACATTTCGGAGCCGCTGCACCACGCGCCGGGACGACGACTCTCCCGCGCCGCCGCTGCCGCCCTCGAACGCCAGCGACAGCCCCCCCACCGCCGGCCGCTCGACCTTGACCCACCGCCGGATCTGCGCCGCGGCGACACCCCGAGCGTAGAGCCCCTCCTCGCCACCGCTGACGCTGCCGCCGTCACCGCTGGCGCAGGCGTCCTCGGCGTACCAGACGTCCTCCTCAGAGATGTCCCCGCCAGCGACGTGTCCCTGGGCGTCCCCGAAGCCGCCGAGGAAGCGCTCGTGGTGGTGGTGATCTTTGCTGTGGTTGCGCCCCTTAGCCATGGAATGGGCTACCAGAGACCGCCGCCGCCGTCCTATTGGTGCATGCGAATAGGGACGGAGGAAGAAGGGAAGCCTTGCGGCCCGTTGGTGGGCGGATGCACCAGGCCACCGGCACAGCAGCAGGATTTATATGACTGGTGTGAGTTCATTTGGCATGCATTTGGGCCGCATTTGGGTTTCGCCCTTCGCTGTCTTGGTGACGCAACGAGCTCGTTATGGGGCCCGCAGGCTTGTCTCGGGGGGCGACGGTCCTGACGTTCACATGAAGCCACGTCGGAATCAGATGTCGCTGAGTGTCGCTTTGCACGCCATCCCTCCGTACGTAGAGACGAAAATTCTGGATATGGACTGATGTGTGCGTATGGAATCTGACTCGCATATGGGTCTGATCGTGTACGTATTGCTAAGCACGGCTACCCGCGGGCCCCAATAATGAGCTTCAGTTCACAATGCCATTGGTCCTCAAATAATCCTGAATCAGCCTTTGTGGGCCCGAGTTTGGCCTATTTTGGCTCCGCCACGTGGCGAAGAGCCACCATTCCCGCGAAGGTGCTAGGAGCTCTTGATTGGTTGAGGGCGGGATTCCTTGACACCAATTATTGCGCAGGCACGGCGGACCATCGCAGCCGTGCGATTCCTTGTGAACGGCATAGATTCCTGCGCAGAGGTGACAAGGAGCTTGTCGTATTGGATATGCGATCGCCCCCGTCGATCGGGGAGAATTGACGACGACGACCGTCAGATTGGTAGGGCCTAGGGATGATTAAAGACCCGGACCCTTTATCATGAACAGCAGGCCCCACCGCTTGTTCTCTTGTCCACTGCGAGGTTAAGCTGTGCCCCTCGATACCAAGGGTAGAGATGCGGAGCAGGATAACCCGCGGGAGCGCACATGGTGCCTTGCTTTTCGAAGAATGCGACCGTCGTCGCTGCCAGCCGCGGTGATATAATTGAGCTCCGCCGTGGAGCCCAACGCACAGCGACCCGACCACGACGGTGAGACATTTCTGGCCTCGCCCATCACCGGTGTGGGTCCGGCGGCGGCGCAGCTCCCTTGGCGGAGGAGGCCGTCGTTTTCTTCTGAAAGAAGGGGGGAAGCGGAGGAGGACAACGAGGAGGAGAAGAAGAAGAAGAAAAAGAAGAATTTCCCGAACCGTAGGGTGATGCGGGAGATTCCCGACGACGGCCTCCACAAGTTTATGATTTGAGGCAAGGGAATCTTGAAGCAGATATTTTGACTTTTCAATTATTTCTTGCGAGTTGAATTTCTCATTTCAGATGAGAGTTGTCTCGCGCTGTGGGCTCGTTCTGAAAGCTCTCTCTCGCTCTCTCGCTCTGTTGGTTGCGGCATAGAGGTCGTACATCGGAGGCCATCTAAGTTAAACTTCGCTGATGCTGAGGACAAATACGATAAGCAAGCAAACCTCTAGAAACTAATCTTCTCTCCTGGGAAGGTTACAATCCACCGCAAATCGGATGAACTTGTTAAATAGAAACTAGTTCTCTTCCCTGCTATGAGCGTGCTCGCGAAAGAACTGAAAGTTTTCCCAAAATTGCTGAACTTGCTGGACGTGGCGATCTTCGTGGGAGGTGGAAATTAACGTGACGATCCTACGTTGCGAGATTCTCCCCCACGGATCTAGAATCTATTTCAACGTTCTTGGATATGAACCATAAATGGGATCAGGCGGCCGAAATAATAAAGAGCCTATTATCCGCTGAAGCATCAATTATCAGCGCATCCAGGGTAATCCATAGCTGACAGTTGAAGGGTCGAAAAAGAGAGGATCTAGGGGTTTGTTACCAAGATCGAAGAGCGCTTTTGAAATACCAAATGGTTTGCGTGACATCAGTTCAATCTTATATTAGATGGGGAAAGCATGTACCAGAGAGAAAGATGTCCGAGAAGCGAACAGTGAGATGTAATAGTGTACTGATAGTGCTTTGTCTCATATGAGGATCAAAGAAAGTAGACGATTGCAGAAATAATGCTTGTACTCTAGTAGTAGGTTTTTAGTCCGATAGTTATATTAGAGCATAACCAGGCACAAGGAAAGAAAGAAGATCACGACATAAAGAGGAAAATAATGAGCTAAGGTGTTTTAAATAACTTCCCCATGCTTAGTTTACTGCTAAAAGAATGGTATAAATGTATATGAGAGCTGGAAATTGAAGACCAATGTGATTAAACGGAGATGGATTAAAGAGTTTGAACAGCTCAATCTTAGGATGAAAAGAGATTGAACAATTATTGTGAGTGGCTTCAAAAAACCTTCTGAATCTTTCGTAAGGTGACTGTCTTAAAAGGTGATCGAAGAGAGAGTTTGAACAACTCTTCTCAGGATGAAAAGAGATTGAACCATTCTTGTCAGTGCCCTCAAGAAACTTCCTGAATCTCTAGTAAGGTGACTCTTTTTAACATAAAACTAAGCACTTAATGGGTTAAGTCTTAGTTCTGTATAGCATTATGAAGATTTGGAAATTCTGGTTTTATTACTTCATCTCCGAACTCAAGACATCAAGCCAGAAAGGAGCAAATTCATTAAAAAAAAATTAAAAAGTCAATGACATCATCAAACCGACTAGCGTAGCATATTTGAGGAACTTGGTTTTACCGTCGCTGCTTACATTCGAAAGAAGAATATTGTGGGCACATGACTCTGTTGGACGATGAAAGAGGATGTGATGGTGGAAGAAGAAATGGGTGGTTGAAGTTTATGAGAGTGATGTGTCTGAAACACATGAATATGAAATTGACACTCACGCTGCTGTGAGATGATGTGTAGGGGATGACATATAGCGTGAGAAGTGAGATGATAATTTAGCGAATAATTTTAATGCACTCAGTTATTCTTATTGACATTATAAAATAAAAAAAATGCTAAGGCCTCTTATTTACTTGTTGGTTTTAATTTATGGCTAAATGAGACTAAATACCGATATTAAAAGTATGTTATGTCACTAGGATGACAATTCTTCATCTTTTTCCTGTTGATTTTTTTTTTATATTTTATTGCTGGTAGTATGACTTGTACACTTATGAACGAACTGACGCTACGCATGCTACTGTTGCGTTTTCATGAAAGCTATGTGGGACAAAATTTATCGGTGGGATACATTCGTATTTACTGATGCCAAACGGGTCGACCACATATACAAGGATCTTTCAACTGCTTTCACCCATGCCCTTCCCGCTTGGCCTGTCCACCGTGGTTCAGCGTCGCTGCCCGGGAGGCGAAGCGATATGGCTGATGTCCCGCCAGCCACCAACTTTACGCCACCGCTCGTTATGGGAAGCTCCTCCATCTTTCCGGGGGGGTTATGTCCCCCTTTATCGCCAGATCCACGCTGGAAGAGGAGAATTCTGGGCTCTAATGTTAAATTCAAGCCACTTTCCAGGTTTGGACACAATTTTATGATATGGTGTGGGATTGATTATTGAAAGCTTAGAAAAATTCACACCCGTCACTGTTTGCTGGTGCTGGATTGATCAGTTGGCCATCTTCTCTCATCGTCATGGTGGAGGATCTACTGGAGGCTTCAGCTGTCCTGACAAGTTGCAGGTTGGCTTTCTGGGAGCGAGAGAATCTAGAATCTCCATGATTTAGGAACGGTGAAGATATGAACTCAGAAATTCTTAGGGAAACAGTGGTGATTATTCTAAGGGTTGTGCCTTTTAGAAATCGGACGCCAGCTCATCTCACTTGTTTCTCATCAGATCGTGTCGCCGACATAGCCATTAGATAAACCCTGACGTCATTGTAATGGTACCCGTGAGGATGGAATGGAATGGTCGTGCCCCCGTTTCCCATGAGCATATGACCCAATTGGAAGTACCTCTATGAGCAGTGAACACATGATCACGAGACGGGCGGACCTTGTGAGGTGGACCACACCTGCTTCCTTTTTAAGGCCTCACCTCCCACCGTATATTCAAGGGTGGAGTTTGATAGAGAGAGAAAGGCCATCCTTTCCTCCCCTCATCTCCTCTACACTCTATCCCACTCTCTCATTCTACTTTACTTTGAGAACATGGAAATTGACAATTTATGATAGGAGATCGATCATTATAGACTGATTATCACTGAGTGTCAAAAAGATAAAATTATTTTCAAGAAATATATAGAGAAAGATAGAATTTATCAACTTTTAAAGGGACAGAATTGTGTATATGATCAAACTAGGGCTCAAATTTTAGGGAAAGAAAAAATCCAAAACATGATGGAAGTGACTACTATCATCAGAAATGAGGAGAACCATGAAAATCTTATCATAGAATGATAAAATATATAAATTTTAATATTTATGGTTCAACCAAAATAGGAAAAACCAACATATGTGGTCTTACCTAGAAATGATAGAAGATAAGGAGTGAAGAAGGGTGATTATTAAGATAACTTATTGTGAACTTATCATAGGAGACTAAAGCACACTACTCCAAGCTCCATGAGAAACCTCAAGTTGGCATTCAGAGGCTAAAGTTAGTCATGACATTCAGTTCTAATGACTCCTTGACATTCTTTAATGAGAAAACTCACTCTATTGTATTACAAGTTACATTTAACAATTTCTTTAGTTCTTAAATACTAGATATAGGTGCTACTTATCACATGACCCATTCTTCAAATTCTTTTTTATCATATAACCCTTGTCTAATAAATAAAAAATTGGCCATCGCTGATGGATTATTAATTACTACCATTGAAATTGGGGAAGTGAAATTAGAACCTATTGGCATTCAAAAGAATATCCTACATGTTCTTAAACTTTCTACTAACTTTATTTCTATTAAATGGTTAGTTAGAGATATACCTTATCAAGTGGTAATTGATAATGATGTTTGTGATGTTAATGATAAGGTAATAGAAACTAAGATTGAATGTACTAAAGAGTAAGACAGACTATTATCTTAGAGCACTGGACCATGATTGAGGCATCTTTTTTTAACAACAATGAAGTTTATGCTTACAAACTTATTTTTATATTTAAGTTTAGAATAA